TCCGGATCGTCTTGAAACCGATGATTAGCATGACCGAGCTTTCCTCGTGCTTGGAATGATCGAGGGGAGGAATCAACTTACATGCTTTCCATTCTTCCTCGTCCTGCTGATTCCTCGGCGTGTATGCCTCTTCAGGCTTATCAATGTTCTTATCGACCCTGAGTCCGCTTGGGAGAATGGACGCTGGCTGGTCAAGAATGTTCCAAATGGCCGTGTAGTTCCAGTACTTTGCTCCGCCCTGCAGCACTCCCGCCCCGACGTATGCAGGGCAAAGGATGAAGTCAACGCCCTTTGCCTTCATCAAAGCGTGATATTCGCGTCGGTATGCCTCTCTCTCAGCATTCAAAGCCCAGTTCTCAGCTATTGTAAGCGGCCGAGACTTGGAAAATGCAAAGGCGTGGTGCGTCAGTGGAAGCGCTGGTTCACCCCCTTCGGCGAAGGTGTCCAGGTACGGTTTCGGGCCTTGTGGGAAGTACAGTGAGGACTTCGCGTGTCAAGTCAGCGGCTGCGCCGGTATGATGTCTGACTTTGTGATTGAAAACGAGTTGCCTTGACTTACGACTATCTTCCAGCCACGTTCATGGTCGAAAGGCTTCCACTCCACGACCTTGATTCCTGCAGCCTTAAGTTTGTCTGTTGCATGTTGAAGGGCTCGAAGAACTGGTGGGTGAGGCTTGACGCATCTGATAAATCGCATCTGTTAGTCATCTTCATAGTCTCATGCAAAAGAGCTCAAAGTACTTACCCGTCATCAAACATGACACCAATAGTAATGTCCTTTTTCAGCGCTACTTGCCGCCAAGGCAAAGGTACCAATGAAGTTTCTGTTTGCCACGGTTCTGCTCCCAGCATGGCACTCATGAACATGTCCAGGTCATCCACGCTCTGTCCCAGTGGACCAGCAACCCCACGAATGCTTTCTTGACCAAAGGTGATACCAAAGTTTCCAAGACAAGGAACTCTCAAAGCCGTCGGGCGGAGTCCGTAACAGCCATTGAAAGCGGCCGGAATTCTAATGCTGCCACCAATATCGGTGCCTACGCCCATAACGGAGCATTTTGCGCCAACGGAAACACCTTCACCTCCTGAAGAGCCGCCGGGAGAAAGAAGGAGGTTATGGGGGTTCAAGGTGAGCCCGGTGATGTTATTATTGCAGTCGAGATGCTATAGCAAAACAGTCAACATTAGTCTCACAAGTCTTCGAACGAAGTTGTCTGGGCAAACTATTCTGTCACATACCATCAGAGACTGGGGCTGGTTTGTTCGAACGTGAATTACTGCGCCTGCCTGCTTCAGAATGCTGATTGAAAGCGCGTCTTCGGACGGAATGTTCGAGATCTTCGCCACAAAACCGGCATGGGTAATTCGACCACGCATACCGATGTGCTCCTGCGAATAAGATGCAGTTTAGCAATCAAGGCCCTCCTCATAGAAGCAGACTCAAACATTCCCACATACCTTCACTGAGATCGGAATACCATGCAGCGGTCCTGCCAACTGACCGGTCTCTTGATAGTAAGCATCGAGCTCATCGGCCTTCTGCAAAGCGGATTCGGCGAGAATCTCCGTAGCGAAGTTGGTCTTCAAGCGTCGAATAATCAGCATGTGCACCAAAAGTTTGCCAATAGCCTCCATACCAATTGGTGAATTATCGTTGTCCTCTTCAAGAAAGCTGTGACAACCTGTCTGACACTCCATTGGCCAGATCTGTACTTCTCCAACAAACCCGCTGCATCTTGTTCCGTCATTTTCAACTCCTTGGGCGTGAGAATTCCTGCCTCATATGGAACATTTTGAACATTTCGGCGATCTTTGGGCGGTAATTGACTTTGCGGAAGCTCGTAATCCTTCGGGATAGACTTCTTCTGGATGTCAATGCATGTCTGGGCTAGCTCTCGCCAACTCTTTGCAAGGGCCGTGATAGCCATGATGTCAGGGAGGAAATGGTTCAACGACGTTACAACAGTATGCCGGCACTTGCGTCAATCTCTGTAAATCATCAGCCTTCATACCTTCGCTTGTCAGAGAGCCCGGGCACTTTGTACGGTTTCTTCCAGCCAGTCGGTTCTTCGTTATCAGTTGGAGCTATCTTGTCCGGCGGCGATCGCCTCTCCGCCTATCGCTGTCAACTGCCATAACTGAGTGCAGGAGCGGGTCCATTCTCCACTACAATGGTCATCCAGAGCCTCCCGCATGTCAGCTCCGCACGAAACCCGCCTCTCCAGGCTCGCAAACAAGCAATTGTACTGGATGAAGATATCCGAATCCCGAAAAAAACATGAAATGGGTCCTTTGAGCGGGTAGGATTGGTGTCGGAGCGTCCCCGAAAGATATCTGGTAGTGCTTGCCCCAAATATGTTATCAGCTTGCCCCCGCATGCTCCGCGCTCATAGCTTCCCCTGTCGGGCGCAGCTTATCATCACTTCAAGATAGCTCTATTGAACTGTTCTGTAAAGCTCACCGAGGTCTTCACCCGAGCAGTCGAGCAGCAGGAGCGATAAGTAGTAAAGGGGCACCCATACTCTGCCGCTGCGTTGTCGTCGCTTCTGTTTGGCCTCTCCCTGATTCCTGCCAATCCCCCCCTCCGACCGTTGTAGATATCGTCCTCGAACAGCCGAACTTGGAATAAGGTCCTCTTTGTGGCCATGGCTCAAGACCACACCAAAGCTGAAGGAGATGGGTTGCCTCCAGGAACTTCGAGGCTCATCGACGTAGATGGCTCCGTTATTGGGCAGCACGCGTCAGGCTCAGGCGAGAACGATATCGTGCTCATTCCTCGCCCTTCAGAAGACCCAGAAGATCCTCTGAATTGGACTAGAAAGCGCAAATTGCTGGCTACGTCATGCGTTGTGCTTTACACCATCATGATTGCCATCCCAAGTAGTGCAGTCTATTCCGTCGTCACTCCCATTCGAAAAGCGACAGGATTATCGCTGGCGGACATCAACAATGGAACCGGAATCATGGTCAGTATGGATGTGCAATTTCAAGAGACTTTTTCTGACAACAATTGTTTTAGTTTCTCTTCTACGGCTGGGGATGCGTCATCTGGCAACCTCTTGCTCTCCAATATGGCAAGCGACCTGCCTACTTGGCTTCCCTTGCGGCGAATATTGTAAGCCATCCAATATGGGCCCTGGAAAGATTGTTGTCTAACTAAGTTTGCTTTTCAGATCATCCTCGCTACTGCACCGATGTGCACTACAAAGCACACCTATCTCGCGAGCCGTATCCTGCTTGGCCTTTTCGGAGCACCCGTCGAATCACTTTGCGAAATCTCGATTACCGACATTGTAGGCGCACTATTCACAAAGGAATGTTATATAAGCGAATGAAGACTCATTTGTGCGTAGTGGTTCGCTCATCAACGCCCGAAGTACCTTGCGCTCTATGGATGGGGTCTCTCTATGACCGGCAAGCTTGCTCCTATGCTTTCTGGTTTCATCAACGTCGGCATGGGGTGGAAGTGGACTCTGGTAAGACAACTCATTTCAAACTCGGTCTTAAGGTAGATATTGACTATATTCCCCACCTCGCAGTGGTGGTGCGCAATTTTCAACGGAATTGCTCTGGTTTACTGTTTCCTCTTCATGGAAGAGACCAACTACGATCGTCCCGCGAGATTGGAGGACCATGAAACACCCGTCATCTCGGAGGCGCAACGAACAGAATCTGCAACTGGCAGCGAAGAGGAGTCGAAGGTCGCGAACGCAACCGAGAAGCAGGGAGATCCGACCACCAACCCCGTCGACAGCGAGACTGGACAGGTCATTTACCCACGCAAGACTTTTGTCCAGAAATTGGGTATCAAGGACAAGCCGAGACCCAACCGAATGCTGGATATTGCTCTTGGTGCCCTCCGAGGCTTCACGTATCCTTCTGTCGTTTACGCTGGGTAGGTTCAATAGTATCTTTGGAGCAGGACTGCGGCCTAACTGAATTCAGATTGATGTACGGCGCCAACAATTTGGTGTGGTCTGGTGTTCAGAATGCCACAACAGGTACCGTGTACACCACCATGTACGGCTTCTCTACTGCCGGTGTGGCTGGCGCTTACGCGGGAGGCGTTCTTGGTACCATCATCGGGTTAGTCCAAATGCCTTGGTTTGTTTTGTAATGATGACTGACATATTTCCTGCAGAGGTTACTATTGCGGCAAGGTTGGAAAGATCTTGACAATTCGCCTCGCGCGTCGCAACAACGGAATTTCCGAATCAGAGCATTCTCTGTGGCTCTTCGCGGCCTCAATGTTTCTGGTGCCTTTCAGCATGATCCTTTACGGCCTTGGAGTTGCCTACCATATCCACTGGATGGGGCTCATTATATCTCAATTCACGCTCGCTATCAACAACGCTCTGGCGGTAGCCGGATCCCTGGGTTATGCTATCGCATCATACCCGCAACTGAGCGGCGACATGATCACCACCTGCGTCATCATTCGTAACACGATGAGCTTCGCCATCAACTACGGCATCACTCCCTGGCTCAACCACATGGGCTATCGCGACACTTTTATTACCGTTGGCGCTATTGGATTTGTGTGGAATGCTAGTATTTTTGTCATGACCAGATATGGCAGGAAGATGAGAGAGAAGAGCGCAGAGAGGTACTGGAAGGATGTGGCAAAGGCGCACGCGAAGGGTTTGAGTCATTGATTGTGTCTTCAGCACTACAAGTAAATATGATCAAATTCTGAGAAAATTCCCGCTTGGGATGTTTCAATGCAATTCAGTCCCGTAATGATTGACCAAAACCCGCGATAGAAATGATATTACACGGACATTGTACTACTGCAAAGTACTGTGCTATGTGTTTCTTTCACTGCGATCTTTGTATCAATGGTAGGTATGTAATTGGCCTTTGAATCTTCTTTTGAATATGTTTTTCTATTTAAATGTCTGATTACATTTGTGTAGGTGTGGGAAATCTCCTGGGTATTGGATAGAAGCAAAGAGGAAGAAACGAATGAATGAGTGACTGTGTAACTGTCACGAAGGCTTTCAAGAAGAACCCGAGCGACTCTTCCCACGCATCATATCTGTAACCTTGGTTGAGACCCTGCTCAAAAGCGATGTCTCTGATTCTGTCGATATGACGCTCCTGCTTGCTTCGCTTGACCGTCTCCTCTGGTGCATCTCTTTAACAAACTTGGCCCAGGTGTTAGTCAAAACGAGATACTTGATGTGCCCCTGAGCGCTATCAAACACATTGGGATTGAAGGCGGAGGGAATCTCGCCGGTGTAGCGGATCTGGCCTCGGATGTCCTGTCCACTGCCTGAAGTCTGACCATTGCGAGAGTGATAGGCATCATCGAAGGGGGTGATGTGGTTCAGTGAAGAGTCTTCGCCGAAGAGAATGCGAGCGGGCTTCTCGAAAACAGCCTCAAGATGCTTGAGCTCGTTTGAAGGAAGGTTGAGAGGAAACTCAGCGAGGTTGATTGAGATAAAGTCTGCGTAGATGTCGAGGGCGCTGTTGAAGGCTTCTAGCATCTCTTCGCCACTAAGTGAATGAGCCTTCGAGTTTTGAGCAAATTGGGGCCAAGTCGAAGTCTTCCATGCGTCAAGGCGGGTGAGGAAGGCAATGTTCTCTCCAGAGAAATCGCAGAGAGCCGAGAACTCCTGCAGAGAACCGGTGTTCTCGCGGAGAGCGTGGTCAAGAGCGCTCATCGTGAGTAGACGGCTATCCGGCTCCGGGCCAATTTCGACGTTGTCAGATTCGTATACATTCGCAAGGCCCTTCTCCAACTGACTGGCTGAGGCTTCGCGCCTGCAGTTCACGCAAGTGCCCATAAGGTTGGACGTAGGCCTCAAAGTACTGGATTGAGACGACGTATCCCACTTGGCGTTCGCATCTCTTGCTTTCTTGTTCAGGATTCGCAGTCGGATGACCTGGAATGCCGGTAAAAAGACGGCAAAGATCTCGAAAACCATGGACGAGAGATGTAACCTGAATTCCATCATCAGCTGCGGTTTCTTGAGCTAAAACGACTGACGCCAAGTTAATGACTTACCACTGGCTTGGAGTAAAGTATTGGTTGACCTTCGCAAACGCCGGGACATACGAAGCGATGAGAAACATCGGTGTAGCGTGGAGACTAGATAGAGATCAGCAACGATGAAGATTACTGGACAAGTCAATGTGTTACAAACCTGGCGAGGCAGCAGCCAATGGTTTGTGTGCGCCATCCCATTGTGTCGCGGATGCCCCAAGCCTTCCAAAGCATCGTGGGGGCGATCTATACACGTTAGAAACCTGCCGATGTTGCTTTGAGAATCGATGGTGACTTACAATCCACGACCAGAGAAACTGCCAAGCTACCGTCGGCCACCACTCCCATCCTCGACCCAGGTCTACCAACTGCTCCATGACGTTGGAGCCGCGGATTTCTGTACCAGGAATGCCGAACGTCGGGTGATACTTCTTGCAAGCGAGCCACATGCCAATGGTCAAGCATGCCTAAGTCGAACACTCGCGGGTCAGACTGAATCGTGCGTTTATGGAAGAACCTCACGTACCTGAATAACCAAACCCAGCCCGATAGGGATCATAATCTTAGTCGTATAGTCCATGTTCCTCAAGCGGCAAAGCCAAGATGTCCTCGCACCATCGCAGCCGAGCTTTCCTCGCTTGATTCCTTCTCCCTTATTCGCAAAATGCAACTTCTGCAGCTTAGCAACGTGCAGGAAACGCGCGTTGGAGGCATGGAATAAGGCGATACCAAGAGGGAACCAGGTTCCCATGACGAAATACTGGACATCGTAGGCCAGAACAGCCGGCATAGTTCCACCAATAGGATAGGTGATCTGAGCGAGAATCCAGTACAAGTGAAGACAGAAGATAGCGGCGAAGGACAGCGGCAAGCCACGGATCTTGAGGACGGGGCTATCGCGGTTGACCCAGCAGAAGATCATACCAGCGATGACGAGCACCGTCCATGTTACACAGAATGTCATGTAGAAGATGCCTATGCTGTCGAAGTTCGGCGGCATAGGCGGGAAGTTGTAGATCGTAAGGCTCGCCATCGCTGCGGGATCCATGGTGACGTTTGTGTTGGAGTTGTTGGATGAAGAGAGAGAGGCATCTCCTGGTCTGATGTTCGACAAAAACAGGATGGGAAGGTGTCTTCTTTTCAAGACAGCCTCATTCTTGAAGTCTTGTGTGTGGGGATATGAGTGGGGAATGGCGAAGGAGGAGTCCATGTCCGATGAACGGTTCAGCCACACTCGAAGAAGCCCGGCGGGCCAACGGTGCCGGCACCTGGACACATTGTGATCGGCCATCCAAATCGGTAGAATCAGTCAAACGATAGCGTGCTTAGCATAGTGATACGGGTGTGATACAGCCGCACAGCTTGGTCCGGAGCAGCGAATCCCGTTGAAGCCAGGCTAATATTGAACCCCTTCCCCCCCGCTTGTGGCGTCTCTCGGCTGTGGCCACTGCTTTCCCGCGATGGACTATTCTGAACAACTCAGGCTCATGTTTCGACTCATGTTCTCCCTACGTCCCTCAGAACTTGGCTTTTTTGTGTTGTCGATCACTAAGGTGTTCGTCCGTGCTCCCGGCACCCGAATCAAGCCAACTTCGACTAGACGTTCTCGTCCGTCGCGCTAGACGGGTGATGATCCAATCAGCGCATTACCGTGGCTTCGCTTGGCCGTCCCGTTCAGTCTAAAGCAAGGGATCTTCATGAGTCAATCTGCTCGAGGTAAAGTGAGGTGGACAGCCTCGCATGCGTCAGGTCTTTGATATGTCCAATCAAATGCCTGCATTTCGAGACAAAGGCTTTTTGGCACACAAGCACACGACATCGCAGGACTTCCGGTCCTTTTGTGGGATGCTAGATCTTTTTCGTACCTGGCGTCGAGATTGACGGCGATAGATGCCTGTTGATCATTTCTAGTGCCACAATCTTTTCTGTGCCGGATCGACTCGTTCCATGATTCCGAAGAACGGCACTTGCGCAGACGAATCGCGGGAAGGATGGCGACCATTTCGTTCTCCACATGGTTCTCGTCTGGGGGATGCCGTCGCCTCGTGCTCGTCAAAGAAAGTCAACGGTCTGGGGCAAAATACGCGTTGCTATCGTTGTCGAGTGCCATGTGGTATGAAACTCTGGGGTCGAAATCGTGACAAATTTGTTGGATGCCACAGCAAAGCACTCCAGGTGACGCATTTCAATTGACGTCAGATCTCACAGATTTCTCGCGATCATTGGGACCGATCCTGCTGCCGGGATGCTCATCGGATCTAAGATCAAGTCCCATCCGGACACTTGGAAATCATCAGAGACCCCTGACTGATGTGCATGCATATGCCCTCTATCGGAGTGGTTCGCAGCCAGGAACAGCAAAACCCCTGTTTACTTTTCACCTATCCCAGCTAACTCTGCCAAGCATGTCGGCCTTGCTAGTGGACTACAGGGCATTGTCTTATTGTCCACTCCAACCTTTGTTTCTTCACGCTCAGACGGCAGTTCATGTCTTTGCTGTGGGCATTGTGATCGTCGATCAATGGAATCACTGTTTCCTCTTCCCGCTGTCAAAATCTGCACTTATCGATATTTGGGGTTTCCCCATCACGCATTGTTCGCGCGTAAGCGGATTGCATCTTCGACCCCGGTCGCGAGCCGGGGTTCCAGATTTCCCCACGCTGTCAGATCGTGAGCAATTTCAAAAGTCGATGACTCTGTCCTACTTGAGTTCTCCTGAGCTATCTTTCCAGCGCCTTGGCTTGCATGTCAGCTGCTTGACCGAGAACTGAGAGCCTTGTTGCGGCCCATTGACCTCCCGAGGATGCAGATCATCAATAGCCTCTTTGGCGGGCAAGGATTGGATTACTGAACAGCGAAAGACCCTGGTTCGTTCACACGAAAATGATCAGCGGCAATGCACTGACTGCAAGATGCCAGATCTTGACAACAAATGTATCTGCGTAATGTTTTGAGTCTGCCTCTTCTTGGCTAAGGTTGAACAATAGAAGCTTCCCCATCACCAGCCTCGGACAATCCACGTGCAGTTGCACCTGTCTTCCGCTGAAAGCATTGGTATGGATTTAGCCGTGACAAATTCGACGTCAGCTATGCCAAGTGACTTGAATGAGATGAGCTATCATCAAATGAACGTTCCGGCGCAGCGAAGGCTGAAAGCCAAGGCGCTTGGCAGATACTCAAGTCACCGAGACCTCCGAAATGAGCGTCCGTAGCCGGTCGGCCCCACTCGGCAGTGGACTTGGACAGGCCAGCTCCGGACGTCGCCGGCTGCTCCGGCCGGGCAGGCGGGGAGTCGACCGGACGACGGTTCCGTTCAAGGCCATTGTAGATCTCGATGTGGGCCACATTGAGCTTTGCCTCTTATCTCTAGCGCGTCTAAAGAGAACAATAGGGTTCAAGTGTGACCTTGGTGCTTACATTCCGCCTTGGGAAATCGCAAAGATGCCCCAAAAGAGGTAAGATTTCCTAACAAAGAATCGCTCAACGGTGACGAGCCGGCTGGCTTGACCTGTGCCGCAGCCACCCGTGACGCTTTCATGGTTTAATGCTCGATGTTGTTTCCACTTGTGGTTTGCCATTCGTCAGCCGTCTTACAAGTCTATGAGTTATCAGTTCTTACCTCTCACTATACTAGCGGTTCTTTGTGGGGATCTATCCTTCTTCGTGAAGAAATATTCTTCTCGGCGATGCTTATTGCCTGAGAGCATCCATTGCTTCTGATCAAGATGCTGTCGCATCGCCTTTGAGCCCCGACTGCGCACCCAACGATCTCCTCCGCTACTGTTTGAGCGAGTATCGCGTATCGGCCTTCTCGTCCTCAATTATGGTCCGAATGACTCTAAATTTGTAGTTATATAACAGTATCATGCGATTTACGAAGACTGATTCGTCGTAGCGCAGACAATGTTGCGTCTTGCGATTGGTTTGGACACATGCAGGTGACATTCGTCTTACCCGTAGAAGCTGCATGTCGGGTTCCTTTGGGTACCAGGATTCGTGTATAAATACCCAGCGAACCTTCTCGACGAGTGGGTTTGCGGAGGTGATCGATCCATTTTCGTTCGACTGCTCGTGAGCACCTTATACTACTTGGTCGGCGATGGACGATCCAGATTTTTTCTCGGCGGCCCCTTGTCATTCTCCCTCAATTGTGCCATTCGCAATCAGCGTCCCCCAAGTATCGATCGATGATCTCCAAACACTTCTAAAAGTCTCTAAGATTTGTCCCAAAACATGGGAGAATACCCAAGAAGCTTTTGGAACAACTCACGAATGGCTCTCCAACGCCAAAGCTGCGTGGATAGACTCCGCCCGCTTCTCATGGCGGTCACACGAAGCCCGCATCAATGCTATACCCAATTTCCTGTTCACTCTGCCACTCGCAGATATTGATGCAAAATGGGAAAGAGGTCTGGAATATGACATTCACTTTCTTGCGCTCTTCTCCGATCGCAAAGACGCGATACCTGTCCTTCTGCTGCACGGCTTCCCAGGGAGCGTTTTGGAGTACCTGCCCATTCTTGAGCTTCTGAAAGCAAAATACACTTCGAAGACATTACCTTACCACATCATCGTTCCCTCGCTTCCCGGCTACGGCTACTCATCAATCTCAGCTTCGAGCGATGTTGCATCGTTTGTGGACAAGGAGTTTGACTTTCAAGATGCCACAAAAATTCTTAATCACCTCATGGTCCACATGGGGTTTGGCAAGGCTTACATTACTCATGGAGGTGATGTTGGCACATTGTTTGCGAGGATCATGGCTTGGGGGCATGATGGCTGCAGAGCTTTTCACAGTACGGCCTCTCTATACCATATTTCTGGTTCCCTTATCTGCGCATGCAAGCCTTATTTTTAATGCATCAAAGACCTGACATGATCTAGTGAATGGCTTATTTGCGACGAAAGAGCAAGCCCCATCTCATATGGACGGCTATTCAGAAGAAGACAACCAGCGCATGATCAATGCTCAGGGCTTTTTCACAATTGGTTTCGGTTATTCCCTCATGCATCAGACTACGCCAGGAACCATTGGGCTCACGGTGGCATCTAGTCCGTTGGCTTTATTAGCATGGTGAGTACCTCGAGGCACCTTCCCCGACCGGTTTTATGTGGTCATCTTCGTTTATTCTTTCCGCCCCCCCTGGTATGCAAATGGTCTTCTTAATCCTTAATCTGTTTGTTCTTCTTCTTCTTCTTCTTCTTCTTCTTCTTCTTCTTCTTCGCCGCCGCCGCCGCCGCCGCCGCCGTCGTCGTCGTCGTCATCTAGACGAGGCTTAAATTGCACAACAGGATCGGCGAGAAGTTCCGGGACTGGACAGAGATTCCGATGCCCCTGGAAACAATCCTCGCCAGCGTAACACTTTACTGGCTTACCGATACGTACCCACGCTGCATCTATTCCAACCGGTTCCCCGCCACTGTTCCTTTCCCAGAAGACAAGCCCTTTGGTGTGTCGAACTTCCCCCGCGAGCTCGTACCTGCACCAAGAGCTTGGGTCGAGAAAGCGTTCCCTAACTTGATCTTTTACAAGGACTACGAGAAGGTACCTCCGCAGGTTCTGATTTCTCCCGACTTACGAACAACAAAAGGCTGACGCAGTTCCTAGGGCGGACACTTCCCAGCCCTGGAGGACCCCTCGGCAATGTTAGCCGGCCTAGAGGAATTCCTTGCCAAGTTCAAGACCATGATCCATGCAGACTGGAAGTAACTTGGCTTGAGCTGTGCGAAGCTTGAATTTCGCGAGACTCACGTAATTCAGCTCGGCTTCTCGATCAACCTAAGACCGTATCTCAGCCCCATGAACCCGTCAAATCTCGGTTAAAGCTTCTGTCGAGGATGACAATAACGTAGAAGCATCGCAACTCGCTTCCAAGCCCTCGTAACGGTCGTATGTAGAGTTATTACGAGCGCCTCTTGTCTTTCGGCCATGTGCTGAGCGTCACACAACACGTGGGGCCCGCATCTAGAGGGCTTCTATTCTCGCCGACTTAACGTCTAGGGAAGGAGCTGATGCTCTACAGTGGCATCGTCTCATAGAGGGGCTGGAATCTTGCGCAACTGTGGCTGATGATGGATGGCCTGACAGGTGATCTCCCTGTATGTCTCATACTTCGTGATACCCTCACGTGGTGTACTACATGCAATGTCTCGGTTGGATTAGGGCTGGCTTGGTGAATGCGGAAAAGGGGTAACAGAGAGGGGCAATTCTTGGCCAGATTGATCTGCGTTTATTTCATCATTAGCCTCATAATGTTTCTGAACTTCTCCATTTCTTCCCCGGCAACTCCGATTGGAAGAACACTCAACTATGAAGTCGCGTGTCCGTTCCTGGTTAATGCTCGAGGGGATCGCGTGGTACAGAGGGGTATCACGGAAACATCGATCCTCCAAGGCATGACTTGCCGATCATCTGCATCGGTAGGAGCTGATGGACCATTACTTGTTTCTGCCATGTAGCAGAAGCTGAATGTTGATGCCATTTGAGTATTGTATTGATTGACGGGTAGATGCTGTGACACACCCAGTCATCGATGTGTCACCTCATCGGTCAATGAATGATTTACAAACACGTGGGTTTGATATTCAGGGGTATCTCAGCCTTTAAGGTGTCAGTTCGAGATAGAGAATTCGTATTCCATTTTGATACCCGGTCAATCATCCTTCAGAGCTTCGCTTCCGTCATGGCGTAGTATAACACTAGATGACGAAACGAACACCATAAGAGCTTGTGTACAGAGCTCTGGAGAATTGTACACAGTTGTCGTGCCGAGGGCGCTTGGTGACCTCCGTGGACCAGTATCGATTCAATCACCCATTCCACTGGTCCCGAGTAATGCAATCAAATGCAGCTTTCCGTTGCGAGATTAGGTCGGCCCCGGCAGCGGCCGTGGCAAAATCTTCCGCGGAAGCGCGGATGCGAGTCTAGCGACGTTTTGGTGGTGCCCGTGTCACATGTTTTTCCTCGTGGGAAGGTTGAAGATGCAAGTCTGCCCGAAGGCCAGAGTGTACATTTCTTTCGGCACCGGAACGTGCAGAGGGCGTGTCTCGGGCGGGCGGGGGCGGCTTCGGCAAGTTTGTTGAACCGCAGAAATACGGGTTCTGCATTGTCCCGTCACCGGAAGAAGGTTGTTCTGCAGGTAAAGTCTGATGATTTTGATGTAAAGAGAGTAGGACAAAAAGCCACTCTCGGAAAGGAAGATATCATGGAAGATGCCAACTTGCCGATGTCGGGTTCGTCTCTTACAACTACCTAGCTGAGCTGAATGCATGTTGGCGTCTGCATCGTCAGTTTGTCATTTCCGCCAACAGCTTCAGCTTCAAGGTTTTGTTGTACGGCCCATGCTTTAATCCCTCGGCCGATAGAAACTACTAGCGCAGTACGACAGAAGCCGTCCTTGGAAGCGTCGGCAATGCTGATGCATTTTGGGCGGAGGCACAGGCGCCATGCAAAATTCGCAACACGTGTGGATCATTGTAACTCAAAGGCACATGTGGAACTGTTGGCGCTAGAGAGAACAGCCCTAGAACTTGGGAAGGGGAGGAAACCACTATCTCAGTAAAACTGTGACACGGTTGGACGAGATTTCTCGAGCTCTTCCAAACCTCCGTGAAAAAGGGCCGAGCAAATGCGTATAAAGACCAGCCCCATTCTCAACCTAGTTTGCGTTGAAGAACTTCCATCATCAGCACATGCAGTCTCATTACCACACACTAAGCTACAACACCGCAAACTACCAGACAACCTTTCCACTGCCATCAGCATCACAACAACAAGCACCCTAGCCACAGTAGAATTCTGGACTTGCCCTGTTGATCACCAACAAGACTTAAATTTCCAACCTCAACAACCTCTGCTCAACCATCACAATGGCGAAGTCTTCGGCCAAGCAATCTTCCTCATCCAAGTCAAAGAGTAAGTATCCCAGCTCCGTATGTCTCAGTGATGGCCATGTTCATGTCAAAACAGGCTCCAGCAGCAAGAGCTCTAAAAGCTCCAGCACCGTCCCGGTCAACCGCTCCTGGCAAGACCCCTCGCTGGATCGTGGTCAACGCTCGGCTCAAAGCTCGAGCGCCAGCTACCCCGTCGGGCGCTGGCTTACCGAGCCGTCTTGGCAAGAGCCGTTCAACAACATTGCGGAAGTACCCGCAGCGGGATCGGCCTCGGCCCATGCAGGTGGACACCAGGGATCGGGTGCCGCTGCGACGTATGCCACGTCCCGCAAGTAGCGATAACGCCAGACAGGTTGATGTACATGATGCCATTAGACCTGGTCAATTTCCTTGGTATTTCCATTCTCTCATAGACTACTAGACTGTGCACTTGCAATAGACTTTTCTCGGCCCAGAGTTTCACAGTTCCACACAGTCCAGTGCACAAAACCGCCAATCTCATCACCAACCCCCTAGACAAACCAAGATTAAAACTTGGCACCGGCCTCCGCCATTTGCATACCGTACTGCACATTAAGTCAGTTTGTCGGACCTCGCCATTCTTTGAAATGACACACCTTCTTCAAGCGAATAGCCTGGATAGTAATGAACCCAGTGGTATCCAGAGGATCGAACGTAGTAAGAGAATCCATCGAAGCATCCTCCTCGGAGTACAGCTTCCCATCCGATGAGCGGCCGAGTACATACACGCCGCCTTTGTACAGTCGAAGTCGGACTTGACCGTTGACCCTCTGCTGAGAGTAGTCAAGGCTCGCTGTCATGAGTGTGAGCTCACGATCACCTGTCTTTCGAAATTCCCAGTGCTTGAAAAGCTCACGCTGCAAGAATGCCCTCTCGGGGCTAAAGTAAGCACCCTGATAGATGAGCTCAGACCACTGCTGGCTCATCGCGTTTCGCAAAGAGATGACTCGGCCGTCGAGGACACTGGGAGCAGTAGCAGATACACACAGATGCAAGTGATGATGCTTCTTACAGTCCCTCGATGGAGATGTGCGCGAGACGGAGGATGGTCATAGCTGGGGAGTCTGGTTTGTGTCAGAACATGCTCTTCATGTTCAAATGAATACAGTGGTCATACCATAGCATCCACGAGACTTGAGTCCGATGAATCGGTTCTCAACGATGTCCTGCAGCGCTTGTCAGCTCAAAGCTGGAAAGCCCTTGGAGTTGATCATACACCCACAATACGGCCAACTCCATATTCCCCGCCGATTCGATTGAGAAGCCCAAAGAGCTCAACAGAATCGGTAGCAGTCTGCTGCGGAGTGAAAACTTTCACCGGCGTCCCTTTTTCAAAGAAGATCGTGATATCAAGGGGCTTATCGGGAGCTTTCAGTGGGGAGACTGTTTTAGTCCACATGTCCTCTGGGGGCGTTACGTCTGGGTCCTCGAGAACGCCCGCCTATTCTCGTCAGCTATGCTTTTCTTATGGTGCTTTTTAGGCGACTTACCTCGTAGGAGCAATGGGCAAAGTTGTCATCCATGGAGAATGGCTTCGCCTTGGTCGACGAGACGGGGATCCCTGAGGTTTTGTCAGCTTGGAAGAGGGTACTCCAGGAGGCCCTGCAGCAGTACCTTTCTTAGCGGCATAGTCAAGAAGATCGTTTCGACCCTGTGGAATGGCCTATCAGCTTATGACTGTCACCGCATACAACGCGTGATCATACTTCAAATCGCTTGTAGAATTCAGGCAGGCGCCAAGGAGTAATACATCGTATCTCGGGATTGATCGTGGCGAATGTCAGCTCGAACCGCACTTGGTCATTGCCCTTCCCGGTCTGCCAGCGATTAACCTCGCTTACAAGGAGTGATGTGGTCGGTCGTACGCAGCCATGGGACACAAATTGGCACCCTTCTCGGGCAGCAGCCCTCATCTGGCCTCGAGCAATGACTGGCCGAGCCAAGCTAGTTCCTGTATTTTGTCAGCCAGGGTTTCTTTCCTTCTTCCTTTTCAAGTGTAATATAAATCCAGCTCACCTAGCAAGTAGAGACTCTCATACACAGCATTCTAGACGCTGTAGTCAATTAAAGCTAAGAAGGTGTCCCGAGGATTTCTCACGCATTGGATAGCTTTCCAGCACAACTCTCTGAAAGACGTGAGCTCGAGCAATGTTGACGTGGGGACCTGCCTTACTCGACGAATTCCCGCTTCAAGTCATCGACGATCAACTACAACGGCACGATCATCAGTAACAATTTTCGTCTTCTTCGGTCTACAGCCAAGTGCACCGTGAGTTACCGCACCTTTGTCGCGCCTATCTGCAGAGCTATGTTTTGATTGTTGGCATAAGCAAGTATCTCGGAAGTTTTCAAGAACTTTACCTTTCTTCTCAACCGAAGCCCAATCGGATTCCTCCTGTCCGACGTCGGCAATGTAGCAGCTTTTGAGGCGTCAGTGGGAGCCACGCCGATTGATGGTACGTAAGGTTACGAACATGACTTCGTAATTCTGTCCCACTAGCCAAGCGAGGATGACTGAAGTATCGAGCTAGCGATTGACATCAGTCTTCACGTTGCTATACCATGTATGTGCCATTTGGGCGGGTTGTGCTGTCAAATGTGAAGCGGTATTGCATCGGGAGAGAGAACTTACGCCGCCGGAGTAGCTATTGACGATGTTCTCAGCATGTTGCCATATCTGTAACGATCTGTATTCTGGAATAAACTCACGCGAGACAAACTTTGCCTTTCGACATTTTGGTGGCCGTTTGCGGAAGGGTTGTAATGTTGTTTGCCGACGAGTCAGGGGATCAGGAAAGACGGAAGGCCCAGAGAAAAGATACACAGGATTTCAAATGAAGATTACATGTAGCTTATCCTGAGAAAGTTGAAATGCATCTCTTATAGTTTCCAGCTTGACCTGTTCAATTCCTATACACAGTCTTATCGGTGACTCAAAGTACGCCCTTCAACGCGCCCCTGCACGCGGCAGGAACATCCCGACCAAACACTGGCCATTGAGTCACATCCTACATCAATCCGGAAAGATCCTGCATCTGTTCCAGATAGCCGGGATATGCGGGCGTTCGTGCCCAGAGATGAAGCTCCGCGAAGAGGTAGCCATTTTGGTGCCGTTTGACGCGCGTGGTCGTGGTGTCTCGTCTCGGCTTTCCTTCCCAGCACGGGCGCGGCCGGCTCGAGCTTCCTTCCTAGGGTGGAGTAGGCTAGCGACGCTGGAGACCCGACGACAACGATTGATACCTGGGCACATTGGAACTTTGGTGAAATAGTGCAGGATTCTCGCTGGCGAGATGGAAACGCTTTTCCTTTTCCAACTGTGACTCACTACAATCAAGGGGCAGTCTTTGAAGTCCTGAGTAAGTTATCTTGGAACAAAGTTGTCGGTCCGGCGTTGACTAGCGTCTCTTGGAAAGGTATTAATTGGAGTCCTCGTGTCCAACGAGGTGAAGATTTCACCAGCAAATGATATACCATGCGGGACTGCTCTCTACCCGCTTCAAACGTAAGACACGTCCTTCGACGCAGTAATTCTCCAAAAGCTGGCGGCAGTGTCCGGGCATGTTGAGAACCACGCACTGCGATTTACCTCGCCACCCTGACGTCCTTACTCGGCAGGTGTTCTTTTAGCTGGAATAATCATTGGAAAACTGGTATTCTATGTGACGGAGAGCTCACGTCATCACATTGAGTATTCCTCGGGCATTCGAAAACATATCACCAGTGCAGCCCCGATCATCTGATCAGAAGGTAAAGCAAAACACCCCAGCAAAGCGATTTATTGTGGGTATCGTGGTTTGGGTTTCGACGGATGAGATGTAGATAATTTATACCCACTATTACACACTCTACGAACTCAAATATCCATCGCATAGTCTACGGGTTAACCGCGACATGACTTTGCTCCATCGTCCACACCCAACCCCCGTTGCAGCTTTCAGAGGCCGAACAGCATCAAATGATCCAGCAACGGCGGAGTATATATTGATCAGTTATGGGCTGTCATTCTCCGCTGTTTCCCAGAAATGATATGCTTGTCACCCACATTCTGTTGGATTGTCTTGGAAACCTAGTACAACCTAAAGATCAACGACATGAGAGGTGTTCACTGTGCTGGCAGTCATTATTTCCGAAGCATTGGTTGTTGATTGCCACAATCGATAGACCGTCAGTTTTCTACTCTGGCCTCTTTGATTTCTCGCCTTTTATAAGGCATCATGCACAGGAAACACTCCCCCGAAGACGGTTTTCCAATTTGTCACGATGCGGGGGCTGCAGCACGAAACGACAACATTATCATGCAAGTTCAGCCCTCACTGACGTACCTTAACTTGATGAGTAGGTTAGCTCTCCTGATGTGCTCGATCGATGACATTTGCTTGTGGAGATAATTCTGAAGCTGACAGTTATGGGTTTTATCTCACGAGATGTTCTTCATGTTCAACTTGATCCTTCCGTGATGCAAGTACGTTGTATAAATTATCAGACTCTGTCATGTGAACTTCTCGAGCCAATTGGCCCTCTTTTACTTTCGCTTTCTCGGTTGAAAACAGCGAGTTGGCGACGCTCAAAATTCTAGATGTGAGTAATTTCAACGAGTAAAGAGGGATTTTCAACGTGCTCATCTCGCCTCGCCCTCTTTGGCATCACTTCATTTCCAGTTTATATGACTCCAATACACAAGGGAAGATAGAAAATATTATGGCTACACCGCGTAATTTCTCATTTGTGAGACCGATGACAGAAACTCAGAGATTTCTACTTATCGATGCTGTTGGTTTAAGTTATTGATTGTGAAGGATCAGACGTCTTGCCATCCAATTGCTTCTGGCTGAGCCGGAGTACAGCTCTGGCTATGTTGGAATATATACTCGACAGAAGTCCAAGCAAGAATGGTTGGTACAATCGAAGCGTTCTGCAAATGTATTTCGTCATCTGTCTCCCATGGGCAATGAGGCAAGGCGTTCCTCACAACCCGATTGATTCATGCTTGTTGGCACAATTTCTTGCTGCCATGAGCCTTTACTCATTCGCGACAGTGGGGTTCATGTAAATATATATCATTCATAATGTAGGCGTGCTGATCTGTTTCACCAATGCTATTTGTCGCACAGTTTGTCAATGGCGTAGGTCTATGGCTGCTGGAGAACAGTTAGCAGCACATGCGTAACACGGATATGGCGAGTGTCCTGATTCTTTCAAGTTTCTGTCTTGCTATGCCGTGTGTGTTCCAAACTAGGAATAAATCAAGAATAATGTAGAAGGGCAGAAAGCACACCAACAGATATTTGATTTCGCTGAAGCTACTTTGGGCTTCAAATAAGACATCACTGTCTCTGGACAGTCTTTCCTTACACACCCTATTGCGATCTCATCTTTGAATCCTGGAAAATGGAGATGTGATTGTCGAGAACACTAGTTCAGAGTCTGTAGCCAAGAGCGCAAATAGACACCTTACCATCCATTCTTCGGGCATTGGGGACAATGACGTTGTCATCAATTTACCAGATACCGGCCTTCGGTTCGCTATGCTCCGCATGATGCGGCTCCCAACCATTTCTCCGAGTGACCACAGGCGAACACACGTCCAGTTCGAATTAAGTGTAAAATGCTTGTGATAACCAGCCGTAACAGCTGGTCTCCGAGCCAGAGCAAATGCCCCCCACCGGATGCCCTCTGGATGGGTAAAGGCTAAAATGAGACCTTTGCGAAGAAGCCCATCCCGGCAAGCAACTTTATTCATCAACACAGTCAGGAGGAACTTGATCTCGGTCCCATGAACGGGAGCCGCTGTCAAGGTACTAGCTGGGAATAATCAACGAGAAATACTGGATGGTAGAGCTCTGTACCTTCCACCACACATGACAGTGAATGGTAGGGGATTCATTAATCGTAACGGCTGCCGGAGACTTCCAAGTTTCCGGACAAGGAGCCACTAATGGTAAAAGACCATCGTATTCCCGTGCTCGCTACTCGTTGGACTAGTGTCCGGACTCTCGCTTTTATACGCTGGCAGCCAACTTCCTCAAACTGCAGAGCTCTCACGGATTGATTCCTGGTATGCCGGATATAAATATGCGGTTTGATTTCAGAGGTAGAACTGCACATCACAGACAATCGGCGGCTGCCCCTTCAGACTTTTTCTTGGCTGTCTTCGTGCTAGCGTTAGTTACAGTCCACCACGCACCTCGCAGGGCCGGCCGTCAGAGTCACATGCAGGGGAGATTAGAGCTTAGAGTCGGGCACATTGTCTATGCGAGATTATTCTACCGGAATGCTTGAGATAAGGCAGCGGGAGATGGAAATCTAGGTGTCAATAGACCTCGAAATTGAGCGGTTGAATGTCATCGGCTACGATGACGAGACCGCTTTTGCTCTTCAGCTTTCAAGTGGCGTATTGAGGATTTCCCGCCCAAGAATGGATCGATCTTGTAGGAACTTCAATGAATTCGACATCACAGGGTATTTTATGGTGGTGGGTTCGTTGCTTGACATGAAGCACTTGCGAAGAAGGGTGACTCGGTCTTGTTCCTTCTTCAGCCTCCCTTGCATTGCGAGTCTCTAAGTTTTAAGTTCAATCTCAGAAATGATGGTCTTGTTAACATCCATGAGAATTCGTTCGTAAATAGATAATGTTTCTCACTTTGGTCCGTGAGATCGTGGGTCAGATGATAATCCCGAGAGACCTCGTGCAGATGCAGTACCAACAGGGTCAACCTCACACGCTAACGTATCTCGAGGCATTAGTTGGATAGTTGGCTCTCGCCGTCAAATTGGAAACATGTCAGAGGCGAGACGAGGTTTGTTGAGCAGTGTTTAAGACGCACCCGGCCTGAAGGAAATCAACAAAGCGCTGACGATTACATGCCCGTTGAGTTTTGGAGAAAAGCTTCAAGGCTATCCAAACCTCTTGTCATGTACGGAAGGTGTTTTGTCGGCCACGGGAAAGCCTATGTGGAACACCACCGTGGAGGTGTCGCCGGAAGCCCCGCAATTATCGGGCCCGAGCTCCGTGAAGAGCCCCGGGTTTGCGGCCGATGCAACCAGAGGTCATTGGGCGAAATAGGAACATTGTCAGCGTCATTCATTGGCCACGGTGGTTCGAGTTGAACTCTTGCACGTCCCGTTCTCCGTGCCAGTGCGGAGGTTGGTCCCCTCGTCCCAAAATTTGTATGACAAGTGCCAAGCGTCTTGGTCAAACCTTCAGCCAAGCCACGGCTTGGCCACCCAACCAACCAACCTGTGGCTCGTAATGTTGCTGAAGAGATGCCAGCTGAGGGAGGATTCAGAGTGGCTGGCGACGCGGTCTCGGCCAGACTGTTCGAGACGGCGGTGCCTGGCGTGGCTCGCCGCCAACGTCTCGAGCAGCGCGGGCCGAAAGCCTTGTGATGCGTCGGCGCCAATTAGCCAAGTCCATTGGTGTCAATGTCTTCGCATTCTCAAACGTGTGTTGCTTGTCCGACCCCACGATATTAAAGAGCAGATTATCTGTCTTGGAGATCGGCTGCATGCGCAGGGCAGGCTCGTATTCCTTGTTGATTCTCTCGGCTATCGAATCCGGATGCACATGGAGGACCGCCGAGCGAAACGGCGCTGCTTGGCGGACTGTTGGCAGCGGACGAGACGTCATGCATTCTGCGGTGCTTCCCCGCGTACTCACGCAGCGGCCAAGAACTCACCGGAGGTAATGGAATGGACCGGGGAATTCGAGATGTCCGGTAAATGAAGGTTGTATGCG